AAGTCGCACGTCCAGATTTTTTTCAATAAAAGATATGATAAAATGTCTCCTTGAGAACATGTGGTTACTCTGAGTCAGATAGCTCTACTTTAGGAATATATGGATTAAGAAAWAGTGGAGTTTTTAAAAAGTTCACTRCCTAGTTAGTTTTTGACCAAGCAATTTTGCGCATCGTTCGTTTTGACAAAAAAATGTTGTTTTTTCCCCTGCGACTTGGGTTGTATTTTCAGTACGACTTCTTCTTACTTATCATTCTTTTAAGTGTCACATATCTGTCGAGAATTTCAATGTTGTGATTGCCTGCTTTGTTTACTTCGCCGAGTTTCATGTAGTTTTACTTGGTTGAGTACTTCTACGGCGTTGTATTGGCCGTTTTTAACTCGAAGATTGCGAAGCAATCGAAGAGTTATTGGAGGGGGACGAATATGTCACTCACTCACTTTCCTGTAAACTCGAGCCTGCGTTACTTGTGTTCAGAATTATTAATTGACTCTAATTGTTTTACCATTATCGGGTTCCCTTTGTCATATTTGATTGAATTTATTTATTTTTGGCAAATAAAGAAATCTCATCTGGGTCTTGAAATCAAAGGAACTACCACTCGGCCACGCGTGCCAATGTTACACAGTAGAGACTAGACTTGTGTTTAAAGTGGCAGGCGTTCACTCCTTCTTGTTTAAAATYGAAGTAAAAATAATAAGATTTTAACGAAAAAACCTGTCTTCAGAAATCGTTCACTTATAAATATATTCTATTTCTAAGGTAACTATAATGTGATTCGTCGTATTGTTCAGTCACAAAGGAACCATGAGGAACACTCGCCTACCCACCTAATTCGTTTCGAAAATCATTTTACTTATGTTTTGTTTATTCTTGTTCAGCTACAATTCAAAAAATGTGTTCATTCGCTACCGTTCTATTACTTTGTATATTTGATATATAGTTTATTGTGTAGTTAGATATAGAGACTGGAATACAAGAATTTAGAGCCGCTACGCAAACTAGATGCACATACACTCGTAATGTCAATATAAACAGTGACGCCGTACAGTTGGTCGGGATTTAATCGAATTTACTTTCAGTTATTTAATTCACCGTTACTGAGTACGCATAATAAAGACTCGGATTTATCTCGCCGGCGCTCTACCCGGGCTTATCCAGAAACGAAGTTAAAATGATAAGATTTAAAAAACAAACTATATTCATAAATCGTTTACATAAAATTCTATTTGTCTAGTAATTATAATTTGATTCATCGTATCGTTCCGTATTCGTACGCGTCTACACAATCAATCTTCGAGTTGTGTTGCCATTGTCTAGATGACCTTAACAGTTAATCATAAGGGCGTCTAGTATAAAATCGAGATGACATTAGTGAGATCTACTCGCAGAACGATTGAGAGGGTTCTGCGTGCGAATATCATAAGCGCGGGAATTCGATAGATACTTTTTTTGTTTGGGTACGAGATTGTAKTTTAGCAAGATGGAAATATTCCATTTGTTTCGACAAATATCGAAACGTGGAAAAGAAAAGCAAGACCTACTGCTCCATATGTCCTCAGAAAGACGAATAAAGTTCAAGAAAAGCGGCGACCGGCATAAGTGGCATTTTACTAAATAAACCACGAAAGGAAACTCCTCAAGCTCCTCATCCAACCATTTTCTACATCTTTTTGCTGAGTTTGACTTTTGCTTGGACGCCATATTTAAACTTATGACCAGTCCACACTTGGCTTTTACACATGAGACCTCGCTTTCATGTTGACAAGGGTGTCTGTTTTTGGTCGTCTCGACTTTATGCTTGACGGCCAAGCCCATTGGTCGACGATAAGGGCATCGTTTCGATGTCCTTAATTTTAGCCGTCTTAGCCGTCAGTCGTCAGCTTAGCGGGCTGACAAATAAGCCAAAAGAATCCGAAGTTAATTTCCCCCTTCCTCCGGCGAAAACGAAATAAGCTATGCTCTCACCTCCCCCAYGTGAATTCATTTATTTATTATTCGTATTCAAATAGTTACCGCAAATCGTGTCACGCTTTTCTTGAGAAGTTTTCCACTTCAATAAGGATTTCGACAAAAAGCACAGAATCTGAAACCGTTGATTTTTCAGTTTCCGATTAAAGTTTTAAARCACATGAMACYRGATTTTGCCCTCCCCCTCTGGATACTCAACCCCCCTCCTGATAAATATTGCACAGTCCCTAGTTTGCTGATGGACAGAAATTAA